GTCGCGCATGTGGCCCCCCCCTCCCCCCCCCCCAGCAGACCAGGCTTTTGTTGCGGGACGCCTGGGGTAGAGCAGCTGTACCAGGAGTCCAGATTCAGCCGCTGTTGAAACTGATCAGCGGCTGAGTCCAGGAAGCCCAGGGCAGAGCAACTCTGCCTCGGGCTTCCTGTAGTCAGCCGCTGGTCAGTTTCAGCAGCGGCTGAATCTGGACGCCAGTTCCGACTTACATACAAATTCAACTTAAGAACAAACCTACAGTCCCTATCTTGTACGTAACCCAGGGACTGCCTGTACACAGAATTCATTTCTGTCTCATTCAGTCAAGACAATGCCCCAGCATTTCAAACATGGTTTCTTTGTACTGTAACCCACAGAGCTAGTTGCCCTTTGTTATATTCACTGCCTTGCTTTGGGTATATTCTGCTTTCATTTTATTCAGCTGTCATGCAAGAAAGCTACAGGCCTGTATGCTGTGAGGCATGTTGCTGAAGTGAGTTAACATAAGCAGGCATTAAGTATAATTAAGCATAACAGGCAACAAGCTTTGGCTTAGCTAAAGAGCCTAAGGGTTACATTTAGATTTAGAGAACTTAGGGGAGCTTGCTCAATGGTAGGAAGTAAAAATTTACCAGTAAATGCTGCCACAAGGAACATCAAAATAATAGCCACAAATCCATGTTTGGAAAGAGTAGCGGTTATGATAGTGAGCTCAGCGGTTATGATAGTGAGTGGCAGTTACATGGATCACTACATTAAGCAAATATATCATGACTCAGAGGGGTATCTGTGTTAATCTGTAACTTAAAAACCAACAAGTAGCCCTGTGGCAACTGAGAGTCTAACAAAATATACATAGTATCATATATAATATCCAGTGGGGTCCCCCAAGGATCTGTACTGGGACCCATCCTATTCAACTTATTTATGAGTGATCTAGAGAAAGGGGTAAACAGTGAGGTGGCAAAATTTGCAGATGATACCAAACTGCTCAAGATCATTAAGACCAGGGGTGTCCAAACTTTTTTCAAAGAGGGCCAGATTTGAAGAAGTGAACATGCGTGAGGGCCGACCATTTTGCCTGACATTCTTTGAACCATTAAAATTAAATGCAAATTAACTATTTTATGCAAAGTTTATTGCAAACGGCATACTTTTCATTTCGTCACATGGATGACAAATCTAAACAGGTGTTAAATCACTCTGCCTTTCATATCTGAAGGCCAGATGAAAAAAAAAATCCAGGAAGCTGAAATATATGTCAGGAACATTGTAAAGTACATTACATATTATTGGTAATAAAGGTTGTCTGTCAACTTTTAAGTTCAAAAAATATGAACAGGAACATAACACCAAGTATACATGTTGTGTCCAAATATATTTATAACTGATTTAGACCAACTGACTTTAACTGAGATTTTACAATGTATTCATCTCAATACATATGGATTCGTTGGGGGCCATAAAAGATAGATATTGCCAAATTACCCGTTGCCTACACTAATGTGAAGGGTGAAACTGAGATCTGGACTGCAGCACAGGAGAGCGCAGGGCACGCTGGCCTCACGGTGGCACGGGGGCAGGGCGAACCCGCAGCCAAGCGGGGGAGCGGGGCTGCGGACGTGCCCTACAGGGCAGGGTCTAGGACTGCGGCGGCGGCGGCAGCGCGGCCCAAAGCGGCGCGCTGCGCTGCGCGCGCCAGTTAAAAGGAACACCGGGGAGCCGGGAGAAGCGGGGGCCATATTAAATCCGACCGCGGGCCGCAATTGGCCCGCGGGCTGGACTTTGGACATGCCTGATTAAGACCAAAGCAGACTGTGAAGAGCTTCAAAAAGATCTCACAAAACTAGGTGATTGAGCAACAAAATGGCAACTGAAATTTAATATTGATAAATGTAAAATAATGCACATTGGAAAATATAATCCCAACTACACTTACAATATGATGGGGACTAATCTGGCTACAACTACTCAAGATCTTGGAGTCATCATGGATAGTTCTCTGAAAACATCCACTCAGTGTGCAGCGGCAGTCAAAAAAGCAAAGAGAATGTTAGGAATCATTAAAAAGGGGATAGCAAATAAGACTTATTGCCTCTATATAAATCCATGTTACTCCTGCATCTTGAATACTGCTTATAGATGTGGTCGCCTCATGTAAAAAATGATATATTGGAAAGGGTTCAGAAAAGGGCAACAAAAATGATTAGGGGTTTAGAACAGGTCCCATATGAAGAGAGATTAAAAAGACTTGGACTTTTCAGCTTAGAAAAGAAGAGACTAAGGAGGGATATGATAGAGGTCTATAAAATCAGGATTGGTATGGAAATAGTGAATAAGGGAAAGTTGTATGCTTATTCCACAAGATAAGAACTAGAGTCACGAAATGAAATTAAGAGGCAGCAAGTTTAAAACAAACAAAAGGAAGTTTTTCTTCACTCAGCACACAGTCAACCAGTGGAACTCCTTTCCAGAGAACTTGGTGAAGGCTAGGACTTTAACAGAGTTTAAAAAAGATCTAGCTTGATTCTTGGAGGTTAGGTCCATCAATGGCTGTTAGCCAAGATGACTAAGAATAGTGCCCCTAGCCTCTGTTTCTCTGTAAATGGATGACAGGGTGGCGGGGAGGGCTCACATGAAGATTACCTGTTGTGATCCCTCCCTCTGGGGTATCTGGTATTGGCCACTGTCAGCATATAAGATACTGGGCTAGATGGACCTTTGATCTGACCTAGAATGGCCGTTCTTATGTTCTTATGACCCTTCAGCTCACTGATGAACTTGGTGCATTGCACAAAGTGGCATGGTACAGATAGTTCTGGTCTGTTGTCTCTTACCACAAAGTCCTTAAGGAAGGGTGTGAGTATGTAAGTCTAAAAGCTTATGTAAAGAGTGATACTGCCGAAAGCCCCTACACTGTATTATCTATATGGTTTTATGTAGCTTAGATTTTTATTGGCTTTGTTCCTTATTTATTTCCACAATTTATTTGGTCCTCAGGGTGTTTCTCCCTGCCATCCACCCTGAGGCTCCCCAAAAGTGCCCAAAAGCAAACTCCATAGTTTAATTCTGTAGCCTGTGAGGAAAGAACTTATTACAGTCAGAACAATTGGCCATCATACAGTCATTATTAACTTCTAAAGGGCCAGACAACAGAACTTCTTCACACTAGTACTGCACGGTGAGATATTTTGATTTCTTTGCAGATTTGGATTTATTTTCTCACTCCCTTGGGTGCTTGAGAAGAACCGTCCCCATGCTATTCACGCTGATGATTCTGGGCCTTGCTGCCCTTTTTGGTGAGTCTGGGGTCTCTTTCTATTTCACTGAGCTCACTGAGAAAGCAACTGTGTAAGATTGTTGTGGCGATGAAGTGTGGGATAGGTTTTATCTCTCTGGCATCCCCAGGAGAAGGGAGCCCCTCTCTCACACGGAACATCCTTCTCTGGACAGCAGCTTGACTGTAGCCTTTGCTCCAGACTGGGGGTCCAGCCCATGGAAACTGCCTCTTTGGGGCTTGGCTCCCTGCTGGTTCATGAGGTCAAAGCAGTCCAAGAGAAAAAGGCAAAACACTCCCGATAGCCAACTAATGGACCAGTTCCCCATAGTCTCATGTAGGGTACAGGCCAATAGGGAGGAAGGGTTGGGCTGCTTGTCCCTTGTGTGTCCAAACAACTGAGGCTGAGTCTCAGGGCTCCAAAAATAAAAGCGGGTCCTGCTGTTTCCTCAGAGGACTCAGGCAGCTTCTGTGTAAGAGAAATGAGTTTGGTTCAAGAGCAAATGGAATATAAATAAACTGTTTCTGACTAATTTGGCTCTTCATATCAATATATTGTCAGAAGTGGTAATAGGATGTTTTGCATGACGGGCACCTAACACAGAGGGCAAGAGGTTTTAATCTCTAGCCTATTTTAAAGATCTCACTTTGCACAGGCAGTGACTCCTGGCTAGCAAGACCTCCACTCCCAGAGAACTCAAACCAGACCCCACAACCTATGACACAGAACCCATCTGAGAGCGGGGCAGAGTCTGATTCTTGACTTTGAATCTTTTCACTGTACTTGTGTTAATTAAAATATCTCCATTTAATTTTTCAGGTACTTCTGAAAGTCAGTCTGGATGCTATGGTGACATAAAAAGAGTCGATGCCACTGGGGCTTCCTGTGCAACTGCAAGACCAGAAGGCTTAAGCTACTGTGGTGAGTAATGGCCGCTGTTTGGTTGCTGTATTATAGCACACAGAGTCATCACAGCGGTGCACAGTATTTTACTTCTGTAAAGTACTTTCCAAGAATTAATTGATTAAACCTCATAACATTCATTTACAGATGAAGAAATTAAGACAGAGAGTAGGACTTAATAAGATTTTGGTATAACGCCACCGTCTTTAATGCAGTTACACTAGGAATGATTTTGGCACAGAGAGGTGATGGTCAATTTTTTCACATGTGGCTCCTGGCTTTCTTTTCAGGAGTGCAACTCAGACACTTAGGTCTGATTTCCAGCAGTGCTGACACAAGCACCTCTTGTTAAAGTTATCAGGAGCTGTGAATATTTCTATCCCTCAACAACTAGACCCAAGGTGTCTCTGAAGAATCCAGAATTAACAACCACTTATTAAAATATGGCCCAACTGACTTTCTCAAGGCTTATCACAAATCAGTAGCAGAGGGGGATTGGCAG